TGAGTCTGATGCTCAAGTTTAAAACCCACAGGGCTGGCATTTCAGAGGAGGGGAATGAAAGGAGCTAGAACCCACAGCATGAACTGGGGCCCACTAAGAAGGAGCACAGCCCCTTCAGTTACTACGGCCACTTCACATCACTGTGAGCGAGAATGTAATGACAAAACGGGTGAGTTACATTGCTTCAGTTTGCCATGACAGCTCCGAATCTTTTGTAAGAATCTTCTTGTGGCCCATCCTAAATGTGAACGGCATACAAGGGGATTCTGGGAAAGGTAGTCCAAATTGCCAAGATGACGATTTAAGAAGCCACCGTGTCTACTTTCAGAGATTAATAGTTCACCCATGCATTTAAAAACAATGACAATGAGACATGTTCTGACCTTTATTTTTCCTCTGGCATCTCCCTCACCTGTCCCACTTTGTTGCTGGATTTTTTGCCTTAACTACATTTTTTTTAACCCTGCAATTTGGCATCTATTTTACTATCCTGAAATATTTCTCTGGAAATGTTAAACCAAAAATTCAAGTTTCCCTAAGTCATTTCTCCTTTGGCATTTGACTTTATTTGGCAATGCGGATTATAACTTTTTTTCTCAGGAATTTCCTGATATAGCTCTCTGTGGTTTTCTTAAATCTTTGGATACATCCTTTTTGGTTTTTTGTTTTTTCCTCTTTTAATTTTGACTACAGTATTTCCTAAAACTGAATTGTTGGCCCATAAATTCTTATTAAAATTTAAGAATGTCGATCACCTCTCAAAATTTCAATTACTCTTTCATTATTAGTGATCCCAAATCTAGAAATTTAGCTTTGACTTTCTAACCATCTCCTTTATATAACCAATAATATGCCATGACGTATCCCTATAGTAGGTGCTCCAAAAATACCTGTTGCCCAAGGAATGATTGTGCAAACACAACAGGTATAGAACTTATTCACATTATTTTTCTCAGTAGTCAATTTTCTTCCTCGGTGCTACCCACATTTTCTCAAACACACGTGGGAGATATTTCTGACATCCAACAGGAATTATCAGTAGTGGGAAAAAGGGAAACCCTGGTAGATATCTTTTATCTATGTTAAAAAATATGAGAAATGCATTCTAGAAAGCTTTGTATTTCTCCTTCCATACACTGTAGAAAAAATCAGAATAGCCTTTTGTGGAAGACATTGTAGCATAGTACATAGTTTACCTCACAGACTGCCATGGGACAGTTTTAGATCAAATCTCAAATGTGACATACATTAGTGCACTATCTAGAGCAAGTGTGTCACGGTTTTCTTCTCGGTGAAAATGAGGGTGAAAATAGTAGGACCTAACTCACGGGTTTGCAGTGAGGACTGAGTGAATTAGAAGGTATAAAGCAGTTAGAACAACACCTGGGACAAGGTATCATAACAATATTACTCTTTGTAATTCTAGGAGATTAGAGTTCCTAGAGATAAAATCGATGTATTACTTTAATGTATGTCACAGAAGCACTGACTTTAAATTTCTTTGAGGAAGTAAAATGTTCTCCCTGATTTTCCTGTTCAAATGTCTGAGCAATTGTATACGATACAATATCACTTAATTCAGCATAGCTTATTATTCTTGTGAGGGATTTTCTAAGTCAAACATTTAAAATTACTCATTAAAACCAGGCCTTCGCATTTTGTTTACTGTGATAAGATGATGTAATATGAGATCGGGTTTCTTACTAAAGTTTTAAGGGTGGATTTTTGGTGACTAGAGGTATCATTGTGTGTGTGTGTGTGTGTGTGTGTGTGTGGTACCAGGGATTGAACTTAGAACCTTGCGCTTGTGAGGCAGGCGTGGTGCCACTGAGATAAATCCCCAGCCCCTATAGGTACCATTTTGTACAGATGTTCTCTGTAGTCCTTCCCAGTATTGAAACAGTTCTTTGTGGGAGAATATCTATAGATGCGCATTTACACAGACCACATATGTTTTTCTGTGTGTAAATGTATGTATATGTCATTTGTGTCTCTATCTTGGTTACTGTTCATGACTTCTATTCAGATGTAATACTGAATATAAAGGAAATTCTATTTGATTTAGCACTTACTACTGTTTAACTGGAATTGTGTAGATTAAAGGGTTTCTGTTTTAAATCTTCCATAATGCATTTAAATCTTCCACAATACATTAGCTTTAAAGAAAGGAAGAAAACTCTTGGCCTTTTGTAACAATTGTATATCTGTTCTTACTATAGGAACAACTTTCGTTTAAATTCTGTTACTTTTGAATTTTGTATTTCTATGTATCAAATGAATGCAACTCAGAGTTTGGTTAAGCAAAGCAATACAAATCATTTTTGAATATATTCGCTGTGGTTTAGGGATTTTATGATACTTGTCAACAAGTTTCCTCATTCAACAGCAGTTTATAATATCTATGACATTGTTATGCAAATCATGTGGTTTCTTGAAGATGGTGGACATATTTGGTTCATCCCGATTGGTGGCCACTGAGGTCAGAGCTGTTGCATGAATCCAAATGAGTGAGTACATGGGGATGTTTAGCCTTGGCTTTTTAATTTTAGTTTTATAACCACAACATGTGTAATAGCAATCCATTGTTTCAGGGTGTGCATCGCCAGATTACTGCCTTGAGTGGTGCAAGTTCCATGACGTTCAGCTGGGAGCTGGCTGTGTAAACCCTCGGGAACCTCCTGTATCTTCAGCTGGGTACTTGGGGAAGGAGTTGCCTCATCCTGAAATGCAGGTTTTCTTGTATGAACCAGAAACTCAGTCTTATCTCAAAGCTCAGTTCACATAAATGGTGAGAAAGGAATTAAAAGTGGTTTTACTGTACTTGGGTTGCAACTGTGTTTTGAAAAGTACTGTGAAAGAGCAGTGCCTTGGTGAGTGTCCCTAGCATAGAATCTTATAGATACACATGAATGTCCAAATGTTGTTTATTTGTCACTCCTCAGATGGTTCCATGTTTTTAAAACAATATTTTGCAAATTTTTAATTAATAAAAAAACAACACAATGCACAACTGACACCCTGTGTGAGCTAAGTATACAAGAGGACATTCTCCTGTGGGCTCTGTGTCCTTCTTCTTTACGAGTCGAGTCGAAGCACCCTTCAGCATGACAATGTGCTGTCCAATAAGACCATCATGTTCCATGCCCCTCACATTGAATTCTGCCCCCAAACTTTGGACTTTCCCTCTTTTTTCCCCTCTTCCTGTCATCCTGAATTCCTCTTGACTGTATTTTGCTCAAGTAGCTTTTCCTGGGTTAGGAAATTTCTTTTTTCCTCCTCTAACATGATAATAACTTCTCTAGTAAACATTCTGCATCTGATTCCATGGGCTTCGGATGTGAAGGGTTCTTATGATTTTTAATCTTCAAGCCTTTGCTATCCTTTTACTGTATTTGTTTTCCAGTTAATTGGCCATTCCCCACTTTTCCTCCATGGCTTTATTTCCACTGCTGCTGAGATTTGATTGTAGCAAGTATGTAATCAACCTTGACCAACTCTGTGATCTCTGCTTTCCATTTGGTTTTTTTCTATCTTCATTTCAGTAAACTGGGATTGATCTGATTGGTGAATGAAAATGCTCATATGGTTGTCTGGATACATGTTTTGTTTAAAAATAGGAAGAAATCTGCATCTGTCTAGCTAGGTGGGTTATCCCCAAAGTAGCAGAAGGTCTCTCGACAAAGAATTGCTTTGGTGATGCGTACACCTTGGTGATAGTAGTCGCATCTCCCCTGGGGCAGGTGCAGAGCCCCTCAGTAGATAATGACCATGTCTAATTCATCTTCATCTTTCATTCCAGTACTAATGCAGAGTCCCACACTTTGTGGAAACCCTGGAAAGTGGATGAATAGACACATCTGTTAATTTACCCTGGTCTATGGCGTTATTAAGGGATTTTAAGATACTTGTCAACAACTTCATTCAACAGCAGTTTATGATATTTATGCCATTGTTATGCACTGCCAAACTCTTTCTGCTAAATAATCAGCTAGACTGAGTCTACTATATTTCTTTTGATTAAGGAAAAGTTGTGTGTCTTCTATGCAGTGTATAACTTTGTAGTCTAGCGCAGTGGTGGTGACCTTTTGACACTCGGGTTGTTTATCTTTGAAGACAAAAGATGTTAACGTATGAGTTGTTTTTTTCTAAACTAAAACCTTAATATTCAGGTTTGGTTGCAGGTTGGCGCTTTGTGATAAATAAGTGGGTTTTGGGTTGCACTTTGGGCCCTTGTTCACCATCACAGTCTAGTCAGTGAGGATTTCTGAAATTTCCATATGGCTTATAGTTGTTTCCATGAAGTAAAACTTTTATTAGCTTAGGGCTGATACTCTGGATCTAAGTCAGGAAAATGGAGAAATAGCTACAAAAACCAGACTAATTAGATGTCTTTTAAAATGTAAACATTAAAACTGGAAAATAGTTGACTAATAGCTAAAGAATGAGAGTTAGGCTGAACAACCTAGCCAGTATTTTGTTTCTCTTGAAGTGGTTACTAATTTTAAACAATGAAGACCCTAGGACAGCTAGGAATACCTTTGAATTTAATTTAAAACCACTACATGACAAACTGTACTGCCAACTCTAGCAATAGAAATTGATTTACTTTTTTCCCAGAACGCATTTATTTATATAGGACATCTTCCAGTCATGTGAGATTATTTAGGTTTTGTAGAAATATACATAGCAATTGCTCAGTCAATGAAGTTGCTGGTTATATTTTTCTTATGAATTGTTGATGACAGGATCTAGAAATGTTAGTGTTAGCTTTCTCCAATTCTGAAATTGCCCAGAATACAAACTTTTCTAATTTAGTGAATTGAAGGAAGAAAATGCATATTTTCATCCCCAGTAGATTTGAATGTGAACTGAAAACCGGGTTTAGTTTAGAATTCTTAAATGTCTTTCCATACTACATTTTAGCTTTAAGTGAAATTGTTGCTTGTTACGCTCCAAAGAGGGTTGTGCTAATTAAGTAGCCCATCACGAGGAGAGTATAATTATAGTGCTTATTCTTACTGATACAATCTTGATACTCATTTTTCCAGTTTATAAACGCTTCATGCTATTTTTCAGGTGCCCTAAAGCCAGTGTCAGTCGAGGATGTTGTGTATCCGGTGGTATGGGGGCGCGTGATAAAGGGGTTCAAGTATAAAGTATCTTGTCGGATACAACTTGACTGCGTCCTGGATTGAGATGGCACGGTGGCCATTGTAGTTTATGCGAGTCTCAGTCCTGTGTCCTCCCCAGCATAACGCAGAACAGGTTGGGAAACCCGACCTGAGGCTAAGCAAAGAGCAAATCTTCCTACCACTGCAGCTGTGCGGAACCCGGGTCACAGTGCGCACAGAATTAGCAACGGCGAACTTACAATACATTTTGTGACATACTTCCCAGGTGAATTTAAGCCATAGTGCTTTAATAAAAAAGTAGTATTTTTGTAAAAATAATGAATTTAAAAAATAGATATTAGCAGCTTTTTGCAACTTGCTGTTAGTGTTTTCTGCACCCCCCAAGCCTACCGTTCTTGCATCTGATCAAACCAAAACAAGATGTCCTCATTCCGTATCCTAACATCTCTGAGTTAGAAGATATCATTATTAATATTCATGCGGGGCTGTATGAAAGGATGAGGGAAATGAGAGAAAGGGGATGGAAATGAACCCTGGTTTCCCAGCCCTAGAGTCTCCTGAGCCGGAGGGACTGAGCGGAGGGAGGGAGGGTCGGGCAGAGCAGCTGGCCTGGAGCGCCGGAGGGATCCACGCAGTCAGGAAGCGCGGAGGCCTGGGTGGAGCGCAGCAAGGAAACAGGACTGGAGGAGGCTGGTGCTGGTGCTGATGCTGCTAAGAGGCAGACAGCAGAGCGACACAGCGGAGAGGAGGGGAAGAAGCGGGTGTCCCGGAGGACACCTCGGGCGAATTCCGTGCTAGCGTCATCCCTGCAGCACGGGCTGTCATTACTCTGAGTGTGAACAATCCAGGAGTTGATCACTCAGAAGAGATGTGTGGGGATCTACACGGGGGTGGGTGCAGACACAAATGTAGATCAGCTGCTTGTGTCTCAGCGAACGAGCGAAGAGGATCGCACACAGCAGCTGTGCAGAAAGGACGTCAAGATTTCTTGGATAAGTAGATACACTGATTTTTTTTACTTCGTACTTGTGCTAATTGTTAAAAGAAAATGGAATTATAATACTGTGTTCAACATGGCCACACGAGCCAATGGTGGGCTGGATCACGACGTTGCCAAGGGCGATGACGCGCCTGTCGTCTTTGCCTGCGAAATCACGGCTGTGGGACAAAACCAGGCAGAGCCAGATGCAGGGCAGTGGCTCACTCAGGCCAGCGTAGGTGGGGAATGGGCCAGTGCTTTGGGGTGTTGAGAACACAGTGCTGCTCCACTCGGGGTGCTGTCTTGCTTGGCCAAGTTCTGTCTGTGACAATTCACCCAGTGCTGCATGTGACCTGCATTTTTCTGCATGTGTTTTATATTTATATCAAATAGCAACAGACAGTGCCAGAGAAGCACAACTTGGAAAAGTGATTTCGAGATGTTCAGGATCCAGAAGTTCCTCAGATCAACAGCCTCTCGAAGAGGATGCTGCTGGTCCTAGATCTCATCTACACTAAGGAAGCAGTCTCATCCAAGGTTTCCAGAGGGGAGGGGATGGGAAAAAAGAAGAGGCAAGGTTTATCATGCATGGGTGAAAATTCCCTATGATGAATGTTATCATTATGTGTATCCGAGATGTACCAATAAAAAAATGTTAATAGTAAATAAGAAAATGAGTTATAGTTCCTAAGTCAATCTAAAGTTGGCTAAACACATCCTGTATTGCTTTAATAAATGTGCTTTTGGACATAATTAAAAAAAAACATTTTGGCTGAGTGAATAGCTTGGTCAGAACTGGAACTAGTTAGTCTTCATTAGCTTTGAAGATTCCAAATGCTGCCCCAATGAGGGAATTTAACCTACTCCTGAACTGGTAAGTTTTAATGTGCAAAGGTTGTGTAGCCTATTGCTATGTGTTCTCCTTGGCAATACAGAAATTGAGGGCTTGTTTTTCCTTAACTGGTGGGAGGGTGGCTGAGGCCACAGCTGATCATGCATGTGTAAGTCTGTGTATGTTCGGAGCAGGAGGATTTGGGCAGGACAAAGGCTATCCTCCTCTCCTCCCCTGCAGCTAGTTACCTTTGGGCTCCTGAGTGCTTGGACTTCGTACGTGAACTCTGCAAACTCACAGGGAGTACAGCTGAGCAAGATTGGTGGGAGAAGAGCAGATTTCAGTAGGTGGGTAAACATCTCAGGTGTGGTCCTGACCTCCATTCACTGGCTGAAATGTGTTGGTGTGGATTCTCCTTAGTGTTACATGGTAGGCAGGGAAAGATGGGGATCTGAGTAGGTGAACCTTCTCCGTTATTAATCTGAGAAAAGACAGTGTTTAATGCTGTGCTACGGAAAAAAAAGTCAAAAGCCTCATGTGTTAATTTGCCATGAAATCCTGAAAGGAAGAAAAAGAGCAAGGGATTAAATATTTTTAGAGCAACTTTGATCATGAAAAAGCCCTACTGTGAACCAAAAAGTTATTTTACATTTTACCAACTCACAGTCCTCACTTCAATCCTCACCATTTTCTTAATAATAGACAGTTCCAGAATTTTTGCTCAAATTTTCCCTGGGCCCAGAGAATAGATTGAAACAGGGTGCATCCAATATTTTGAATTACATAAACTATACCAAAGATGGTTCCATTCATTTCCTAAACCCATGTCAGATAATGGAAAACAAACTCGTGTCTTGGATTGCTTTCTAAAAATGAAATATAGAGTTAGTGATTCCAATAATTTAGAGCAGGGTGGTGTAAGATTTTCCTTCGTGGTTACTATGGATCACTGTTGTAGTACACTTGTGTCTGTTTTAAATAATCCTATTGATAGCAAAAAGTAAATGATCTGTTTTTATGGGAGGGAGTAACCATATGCAAGTTTTACTTCAGATTTGAGAATTACCTTTCCCATACTAATAGCTACCAGCAAATAACAACTACTGTTGGAAAGGATAATGAATCAAATTAATATGAACAGGCTGATCCATACATCCAGATTCCTGCAGACAAATACCCAGCATGGAACAGCTGGTGTCCTTACATCTCAGTTTTCAGTGAGCCCGGAGAAATATTGTTCATACTCTCACAATTTCTATTGTACTTTTAGGGCAGATTTAGAAATGCATAGCAACCCAAGATGGGGAAAACTCAAAGCATGGTGCCTTTTGATCAGAATTTCAGGATGCAAACCCACATTTTCAAAAGCCATAATTCTGCTGGGCGCACAGTTAATGAAAGTTACTGTTTCCTAATTATCTTTTCTAGCACAGAAGGCAGCACCTGGCTTTTATGCTGTGTTAAATCCTGGCCATAGAAGGTAAAGTTTAGAGCAAGAATATGAACAAATATTAGTTATAGGGTTAGTTCGAGAGTTGACTCCCCATCAAACTGGCCTGGCACTTCACTAAAGACTTGGTTTCCAGGACAATCCCAAGAATGCAAACTCCCCCAAAATGCGAGAATGGAAGCCGCTCCGAATAGGGGCTGGATAAATATTTGGAGTCGGTAAATAGCTGAGTTCAACAGAACGGTGCTTTCTGCAGGTACAGCCTTGTGGAGAGCCACGTCACACACGGAGAGACCTCGGCATTATGCAGCAAGGCTGCGGAATGAGTCGGGGAAGAGGAAGCCATTTGTACCAAAACTAAGCGCAAGTCTGCTGGCGCACACATTGGGGAGTGAAGACCCAAAATGAAGGCAGGTATTTTATCCTCGGGAGCATAAACAACTGGTTAAAAGTAAGCTGGAGAAGCCAGAAGGGATGCCAGAGGCTGGGTGGTTAGATAGGGGTCAGTTTGTGGGGAAGACAGAGGAAAACGAGAAGGTCCACTTTCGCCTCCCGCGAACTCTTCGTTCCGCTCTGTGACTACGAATGAACGGTCGGTCCACTCATCGCCTCTCACCTACCTAAGGACGATTCTTCAGAAACTCTTCCTTCCTGCGTCAAACTCCCGATCTCCCCGCTGCAGTGTGCGTTGCAGCAGCAGGAGTGCGCTGTCCCATAGCGCTCTCTCCTGCCAGTGGTCGTCCTCCGTCCCTGGCCCGTTCCTCTTCGCCACTTCCTGGCATGTGGTGTTAAAAAGAAGCTTTGCGTCCTCCCACTAACCCTCCCACTGTTCGAGTGTGGCTGTAGCCAATGAGATGTCACCCCACTGTTAAATTAAAATCTATTTTCAGTTCCTGTCTTATTTAATCAATCAGCAGCACAGCACTATCCATATTAAAAACACTGTTTGGTGGGGGTACAGTTGTTCTCGGTCTGTCTGTCTTATCTGTGATTCGTTCTTGCCTTCTTCTGTTGGCTCCCTCTGACCCACAAGGAGTGATGGAAAAATAAGGGGTGTGTTTAATTTTAAAACATTTACAATAAAATACACAGATCCATCACCCCCCCCCACAATACTCCTTGTTTTGAATTTATTCAGTTGTTTTTGACACTTTCCAAAGCAGTTCTGGAAGTCTCTTTTCTTGTTTTCTTGTGGCTGCCTTGATGTCCTGAATTGATTTGAGATATTTACCTCCAATTGTTATTTGGGGAAGAGCCCGAAGTCACACGGTGAAGACACAGAGTCGTGCTTTTACGAGTCTGAAATTGGAGGGCACTGGACATTCACCATATTTTTCATTACACCTTGTAAAGTCACTCACAAAAGAGGACTTCCAGACTTGTTTTGGAAAGTGGCAAGAATGATGGGCTAAGTGTGTTTAAAGTGGGGAGGAATAATTTGAGGGGACTGGTGGCCACGTGTCTTTTTTCCCAGGAATTATTATTTTTTAATATTTTGGTACCTGGGATCGAACTCGGGACCTAGCACTTGCTAGGAAGGTGACAGAACCACTGAGCTAAATCCCTGGCTCTCCCAGGAATTATTTTTTACATAAACTAAACTTTATTTGTACGTGTTTGCAGCACGTAATAATCACATTCGTAATGAGGAGTTGGTACCTACACTTAACCCACCTGAAGCTTGTCTTCTCCTGTAATAGGTTTAAAAATTTTAAGCATTCACCATATATATATATTGATCACGCCTTGCATGTGCATATTCTTTAGGTGAGTACGTATCCCGAGGGACTCTATCTGAAGGATGTGGGTTGCAATGCTAGTAGAGAGGCAGGAAGTTGACGGTGGACAGATAACCTGTAGGAAACGCTGACCATAAATAGAAAGCAGCCAGAAGCATCAGCTAAGAGGGTCCTATCGCTACATGGGTTGGTCTTGAAAATAGATCTGAGTAAAAATAAAGTTTATAAATGCATATTCTATATGCAAACAGTGATTCCACTTATGAAAACTGAAAACATATGTGCAAGATACTGTGTAAGTATCCGTGTAACCAGAAAGGCGGACATCATGCATGTTCCAAAGGTGCCTCCTGGGGAGAAGGGAAGGAGGATGCCGCAGTGAGTAAATGGACGAGAACGAGACTGCACGGGCTGCGTGGTGTCAGTGCGCTTTCACCCGAGCCATGCGAGGTCTCAGTTGTCTGCAGGAGGAAAAGGTGGGCAAGACTCCCGAGAGGCGGGCGGAGGGCGCACGCGTGTGGAAGCACTCATTCCTTCTCCCCAGGCCTCTCCTGCAAAGTCTACACAGTGAGCGATGGAGGTTCAGGCATCGAGTTTTGGTCACCCGATTCCCCTGAACCATAGGAGGTTCTTTGTTTGTTTATTCATTAATTTTCTTGGTACATTTTAGGTATGCAATATGATGCCATTCATCATTGGGCATTTGTACCTTTACATGATATATCTTGGTTCTTATTTTTTTTCTCCATTCCCCTGCCCTCCCTTCACCTCCTCCACCTCTCCCTACTTACAAAGACTTTGTTTCTGTTTTTTTCACTTCTCATATTTATTCCCTTTCCCCTACCCTTCTCACTTCCCCTTCCCCTTTGGACCTTCTCTTCCTAGTTCACGTTATCTGTTACACATTTTAATCCTTATTTACACTTTCAGTTTCTCACAACAGGGAAACTATTCAGTATTTACACATGTGTCCTATTTATTTCATGTAAGAGTATGTCCTCGATGTGCATTCATTTAGCTACAAATGGCTCTAGTTTCTCATTCTTTATGGCTGAGTAGTACTCCATTTTATATAAAAAGCACACATCTTCTTTATCCAGTCTCCAGTTGGTGGGCAATTGAGCTTTTTCCAAGGTTTAGGTATTAACTGTATGAGATTTTAAGAGGAAAAGAAAAGCTGGAAAAGAAAGTCTTGAGGGGAAGATGACAGGATCAAGATTTATCAGTGGCTCCCAGGCTGGGCAAGGGAGCTGCCCCAAGAAGAACAGGGCATTGATAAGAACGGAGAATGAAGGTACACATGAAGTGGGAAAGCCATTAGAGATTGTATGATGCCAAAAAGTTTCTGTAGATAACAAGAAGCAATGACTCTAAATGATTGTCAAATGGAATTTTAACTGGAAAATGCAACATTATCTCCTTGTGGAAAAAATTCACACCAAAAGAGGGCTCTAGTTTTAACTACAAATTGAGTTGAGTTCACCTAAATAACCTCAAGTGATGCAAATGATAATTTATATTCAGATGACGGCTGGGGATTTAGCTCAGTGGTGCTGCCTCCTGCCTTGCAAGCACAGGGTCCTGAGTTTGATACCCAGTACCAAAAAAAAAAGACTTAATAATTTATAATCAGATGACAGTAACCAGGGCTGCAAAATCAAAATAGTTGCTAACCAAAAACAAAGCAAAATAAAACCATAAGGAACGCACATAATCAATCTTTCTTTCTTTCTCTGACACACACATACACACACACACTCACTCTTTCTCTAAGTTAATAAAATATGTGAGTTTGAAATCATATGAAATTGTAAGCTAACACTTTATTCTATGGATGCACTGTCTTTTTATGGGAGACATAAACCTTATAATTCTTCCATTGGCGTCATTTTCTGAATTTTAATGAAATGATAGCACTTTTGATATTTAAAAATCAAATTTTTTATGGTGGAGTGTTGGTTTTGTCTTGTTTCTTTTGTTTGTCCATCTCCAAACTGTTGCTTTTTATGATTTTTATTTGTGTTTATTGGTACTTTTTCTAGGGAGTTTGGGCTTTTTTTTTTTTTTTTTTTTACCAGGGATTGAACTCAGGACCTTACACTTGTGAGGCAGGTGTGGTACCACTGAGCTAAATCCCTGGCCCTTTTCTAGGGAATTTGGGAAGAAGAAAGAAAATAAAAGAATGAAGGTAGAAATTAGAACTTTAAATTCCTATAAAGATTCTTTAGAGGAGGTAGAATCCAAAAGTTAATCCGTTAATTTGTCAAACACTCTCAGTGCCTACCTAGTGCCAAGCACATGGTTACTGGATACAGAAGAAGGTAGAGTTTTGAGAAAAGCTTTTATTGATAGGACATGGGTATGTGTGTGCATCCACAAACATAAATAACTATTGTGCGATTCCAATTCAGTTCTGTTTACTAAGTTGGAAAAAAGTTTCCATGACATCCTTTGTCTGGCTATAAAAATTTCAGTGGAATTTTCCCTTTCTGATTTCCATTCTTCCATTTTTAAAAATAAAGACTTTCCAAGCTCTATTATGAATCGCATGTGTCACCATTCTCTGCAGCCACTTTGGCAAAGAGAATCAAAGAAGTATCAGGCATTCCAGGCTTTTGTCCGAATCCTCCAGCCGATTGTCAGAGAGGAATGCGTACCGTCTGCCACCGAGCACTGGGAAGCCACTCAAGGACAGATCGCTGCCCTTGGATTCTGAAACCAGGGACCTCGCACTGTCCGAGTGGAGGTGGATAGACTCTCAGAGGAGACTGGGGTCACCGCTGGCTCTCTCCCCGTTTGTTTGCTTGCCGCTGAGATAGCCCATTACTTTGTATGGGAAGCTCGATTTCTGACACCAAGTGTCCATTCCTGTGACACTCCGCCAATGCCAAGCTAAGATAAAATGTCTCCAGATAGTTATTTGCCAACATTTCAAGTTTAGACCGTGCTGGTCTATGTTTTAGAACATTTCTGGTGGCCAGCTTAATGTCATTGAGCTTGCTGTATTCTTTAATTTATTGATTAGTTTGTTTGCTCTGTGTTCAGAGGAGGCATTGTTCCGTCTGGCCTTCAGTGCTGTGTTTCATCCTCCCAACCTGGGCACCTGACTGTCTGCTTGAGTGCAAACTGGGCTGGATAAGTTCCTCTTTTTAAAAATAGCTGCATTCTGGGCATAGGTTACTAAGGGAACATTTTTGAACATTTCACATTCCTCTCCGGTGGGTACCAATAAAGTCATGGTCGTGAAGACTTGCCAGGAACAGCTAGCGAGAACTCACATCCCGGCCAGAGATTCTCTTCTCAGCATTACTTGGCTTGACCGTCCTGTCCCCCTCACTGGTTGTCATAAGGTGTCCCAAAGCTATTCTAAGCATACTCCATCTCCACCACGCCCTCCACGGGCCTTACAGGAAAGGCAATGGCGAGAAAAACAATGATTACCCCTTTGTTCTTTGCTTATTCCCTAAGCATGGAGGCTTTGGGTTATTTTTAGTGATCATAAATGTGATACCATTATTGAAACATCCCCCATCCACTGTGCAAATAAAATAGTAAATGCTCAGCCAAGCCAAACATATTATGACATTCAAAATGCAAGAGTTGATCGAACTCTCAGTTATACAAATCGAATGGAACTCTCATGCATTTAGGCCAGCAAAAGCTGTTCAGGATTAATCTTCTAGTTGACTTTTTAAAAATAATGTGTTTTTAATTATCAAAGTTATATAGCAATATTAGGGAAACTTTGGGTTAGCCTATGATCCCTATAGCTCTCTGTCTATAGCTAATTCTATATCTAATTTGCTTTTACTTTGTATTTTTCACACAAATATTTTAATAAGGTTATATAAAATTTTATAATTGGCTTTAATAAGTCAGCAATTTTCTGTCAGGCCCATCCTCCATTGCCACTTGTGTCTTATTTTTACCACATTTAAAACTCTTAAGTGAAATAAATAGGACACCCATATGTAAATACTGAATAGTTTCTCTGGTATGAAAAACTAAAAGTGTCAATAAGATTTAAATTGTATAATTGACAATGTGAAATAGAAAGAAAAGGGCTAAAGGAGTAGGGGAATGGGAAGGGTAGGGGAAAGGAAATAAGGGAAAAGAAAAAAATATGAGGAAAGAAAAATGGAAATAAAATCTTTATAAATAGGGAACGGTGGAGGGGGTGAAGGGAGGGTAGGGGGATGGGGAAACAATGAGAACCGAGACCTGTCATGTAGAGGTACAAGATCCCAGTGATGAATGTAAC